GCAGGAATTCATGGTCAAGCAATCATACTGTGAGGGTAAAACTATCACAGGAATATTGCTTTTATGGCATTATGAGGAAACAGAGAGTGCTGTCTATTTCTTTATGGGACAGATGTTAGGTGTGAACATTTTCTGTCAGTTTATAATCTGAAAATTCAATCAAAATGTTTGAATATACACAATCACCCGATGACCTGCTTGATTTTGAAGTTGAAAAAGGATCAGATGTCTGTGTAGTGACTTGATGAGCTGTAGTGAGCCATGCTTCTGCTACAGCTGCCCTTTAGCATGGCAGCTGTAATGTCAAAAGCGTCAAGCCAGTTGGTTTATGAGCATCTGACACTCCACGGTGTACCTCACATAATCAAATCTCATCTTTTGTGTTACAGGTTTTCCCAGTGGTGCTTGGTTACCTTGCCAGTGGACAGAATGCCACTCTGGTGGTAAAACAAACCAATAATTCATGTTACAACAAGTGCCCACCTGGTGAGTTTCAACAAGGAACTGCATGCCTTGGCCTTTAACAGTGACATTATTACAAGGTAGCTAATCCCATTTCTGCTTTTCTACTCTTCCAGGATATCACAAAGTGAAAGGTGCACAGTGTGATGATCCAAGGCAGCACAAATGTAAACAATGTGAAAATAATTCATTCACAGAGATCGAAAACTTCATAGACAAATGTATGAGGTGTGCTACATGTGGTAGTAAGTATCTTCTTCAAATACCATTACTTGGAACAGGTTTAGCACATATTTTGGTCTAGAATTAAGAAATAAACTGTGCGCTGACTAAAGCAGTGTGAATACTGATGAAAATGATCCTTGAGTCATGGTTTCACAACTTTAATATACATCTTAAAATGCTGTGCATTGAGACAGAAAGATTGTGTTTTGATCTTTCCCCAGATTATGAGGTGGAAATACATCGCTGCAACTCTACTAATAACGTGAAATGCGACTGTCGTGATAACTACTACAATGCAGCCAAGAGCCCAAAAGACCTGGCGTGTCAGTCATGCTTACTATGTAAAAAATGTTCAGGTAAGCACAGTCTTCTTTATATGATATAAACACACTCCCAAAAATTTCTCAAATAATCTTTGTGTTGTTTTTCAGTGCCTGAAAATCCTGACTACATCAGAAAATGTACCTGCACCAGGTGGGAGTTCTTACCACATGAAATCATGTACATGCTCAGATGTTTTTGCAGTTTTATACATGTTTGGGTGTACAGTATGATATATTATCACTTCATCACTGTCTCTTTATCTTTCTACTTTTCTTAGTTGCTATGTTCAACTTTTATGTGTAGTACTTTTTATGAGATTTTTCCCATTTTGGATGACTTCACTTACCTATTTCATGTAGGTTTTGATGCAGTAGTAGATTTTCTTTTCTGTTTTTGTTAAAAAGGTCCTTTTTCTCCCTCTAGATCATCTAATTGGTTTATTAAGGCAGCACTTATTTCTACAGGTTGCAGCTAGAGTGATGAGTGTGTTTGTGTGTATATCATGTAGCACCTTCTCTGTGATGTTTACTTAATCAAGCCTGATGAAAACCTGTGTGAAGCTACCCATGAAACCATTAGTTGATTAATCTATTAGTCGATAGACAGAAAATTCCTTTACAAATATTTTGATCATCAGTTGTCTCAGTAGTCTAATTCAGCAACAGTTTGCTCTGTTACACTTTTCCTTTTGGTGTCTGACTATGTGTTTCTTTAAACTGAATTTCTTTGAATTCTTGACTGTTTGGTGGACAGAAGGAGACATTTGAAGACATTGCTGTAGACATGATGTAGTCATGATCTAAAGCATGCTGAGCATGATTTCAGGTCAGGGACCATGTGTGTTTGTTCAAAAGGTGGACAGTTCTGCAAATCTCCTGCAAATTTACAAAAAAAAAGAAAATAAGTTTTTTTGCATCTCTTTTGGGGAAACGGTTTTTGTGGTTTTCCTGAGGCCCTGCACTAGCTGTGCTGAACTGTGTGGCTGCAGATGTTAAGAGTCACAGCTTAAAGGCAGTTTTGTCTGTTAGGGCTGTTTTACCTTTAAAGAAATGAAGTAATAGATTCACAATGTAACAGCATTCAGGTTCCAGTTTTTACTTGCCACTCCTGATCATACTGGCAACTAAAATATCCCTTTCTAATGTAATTTCAGTGTAAGCGATAGGAGACAAAATCTACAGTCCAAGCAGAAATGTATTCAAAGACTTATCAGAAGTTCAGTTGTTATTTAGGAAAATCAAATGAGGAACATCTAGTGTTACTAGTTGTTTTAGTGCAAAATTCCTTCTTTTTGTTGTGATTACAGCAAGCAAAATGTGTTTCACCGCTCATATGAACACCTGATTATTGATTTAAGATTTTAAATTGTGAGCTTGTCCATTAACTTATTGATTAATATGTTCCACTGTTGTCTTCATTAGTTTCTTCTTATTTTCAGTGCGTGTCTGAAAGACCCAGAATGCAAGAAGAAATGTCCAACAACTACAATTTCACCTTCAAAATCTACAGCTACAAGACCCACACCCTTGGATCCTTCTATGGAGCCAGTTCCACGTAACTGTTAATTCTACTTGTGTCCTGTGCTTTATTAATTAAAGTTACAGAATAACTCACTTGTCTGTGGTTTTATAGCTTTATGAATCATATGCCCAAACAGCTTTTACACTTTCATTAAATGTGGATATTTTGATAACTGTGACTCATTGTTTACCCTTTGTGTGAGGTTATCTGGAGGATTATTCATGTTTTCATCATCAGAGGTTTTCAGACAGAACTACCGTGTTAGAACTGATGACTAGTGGAGTTATATCAGCGTTTCTTTGTGTCCACAGCAGTGGCCCCTGTCTCCTGGCTTCTCTGTGTGGTTGGTGCAATATCTCTGGTGCTCTATGGGCTCCTGCTGCTTTTCATTACGAACCTGCTAGGAAAACCAGACAGCTGTCCCTGCTGGAGCCCAAACAAAGACATAGAGTGCCACGCTGAAGGTAAACAGTATGTAGAATTAAACTGTTTACTCAAAATGCTATACTTAAGTACAGTTTTGGCTCTTGTACTTTACTTGAGTACATTAACTTTATGCAACTTAACCTTTTTTACTCTATTTGTTTTACATTTAAACCATAAGGCCAGCTTGTAAATATGGCAGTGTTATAATTTATATTAAACTACCTTACAGGATATAAAATATTTCAAACATTTTACTGCATTAAAATGCTGTGTACACATCATTTACAACAATCCACTGTTATGCTCTGTAATAATTTAATGCCATCAGGAGCCATTCTGAATGCAAATGAGTGCTTTTATTTTGATACTTAAACCACATTATTGTTGTTAATAAATTTATAATATTTTTGAATGCAGAGCTTCAGCTGGGTGTTTTTATGTTGCAGTGTTGCTACTTTTTTAACCCTTTCATCTGATTTTACATACCTCTATGTAATACCTAATACATCACCGAACCATGATTAATGGGTTAAAATGAAGAGGACACACTAAAATATAAATGATAAAACATTTCCTGGTCACCACATTTCTTGTCCATAGCTGTACTAAATTTCAGGTTATTACTGGTAGATTTCAGCGGGTGTCTTGGCTTTCCCCGCCTTTTTTGCACTTCCCTTTCTTCATGTGTTCAATACTTTTCCCCTGTGTCATTCCATGTTATTACACATAACTTAATTTGTAAACTTATTTGTTATGTTTTCTTTGTATGTATGGATTACTTGGGTTGTTACCGGCATCAAGTGAAAATGTCATGTCAACAGAACCTTTAGAAATATATTTACTGAGAAAAATGGTGACATGTTCAGTCGTTATTTTACCCGCTGTACTATATGTGCTAAAGTTTTAATAGAGCAACTAGTAAGCGGTGTACCTAGATGGTCCTTTGTGTGCAAAACCTTTCCAAAATATAACCAATTACTATCAATGACAAAATGTCAGAATTTCAAAATGAACAAAAACACAGTTACACTCCCATACATATGGATGGTTTGGTACTTAACTTATGTGCTAGAGAGCTTGTGTGCTAAATATATTACTTAAATGCTACTTTAAGACACACCTACCATATTTCTACATAAAGTTTCTCTGGTTTTAAACAAAAATATCTTTATACAGAAACTTAACCAAGTTTCTTGTTATGTGCTTTCTTAACTAAATGAGTTGAAGCAGGAAGCTTACTGATATTATCTGCTTTCCTCCTAACAGAACAAACCAGTCATCAAGACAAGAGCCCGACAGCGGTGGTTTGTGCTCAATTTCATGCACTTTGTTCTGTTAAGATAGAGATCTGTGTTGGAGCAGTACTGTAGGACATTCAGATGAAAAAATACATGTAAAGGTCAATAAGGGCAAAAATAAGCTGCTGATCACAGTTTGTTCAGTTTAGCTACAGTAAAGCTGCATTACATGATCAAGAAGGAATTTAGTAATGCTTTAGAGATGCTGACGAAATTGATTCGTCACTTGAACATTTGTGGCTGGTTGCCACAGAGACATTCATGTCATGTTTGTTGTTTGTCCTTTCAAGATGTTAAACATAACTGAGGATTTTCCCATGTTGGCTCTCAGTCAGAGTCCATCCACACCAGAACATCCAGCCCACAACAGACCCCCGCTGCCAAACGCTGAACATGAAGGTAAGATTCAGCGTCTGATTCCAAGCTACAGTGCACTGCCCGTGAGTGATGACGCGCCTTTCCAGCACTGGCGCAGGGGTTGGAGAGCTAATAAATGGGAACTAAAGAGACCTTTCTTGGCTGATATTTAGCCAAAACCATCAGCAAATCATAGGTGTATAAGTACATGTTATTAAAGGATAAGGCTGGCCATGTCCTATATTATCAGTATTTTCATCACTCCCCATGCAGAGAGTAAGACCAACAGTCTACTCATGTTTGATGTCTGTCAGCTGTCAGACCTGGATTAGTTTATTTATCTGTGCCACAGACCTGCACTGTTGTTCAAAACAATTAAAACATGTCAGGGAAACACACCGCTGCACTGGTTGAAATGTTTCCTCATTATAAAACACCAGACCCTCATGTTTTTTTTAAATGTTGCCCCACAAGCTCTGAACAGCCATAACCTTTTTTATAGAGTCTGAAGTAAGCAAGAGCCAAAGGCCCATACACAAGAACTCTGGATATTCTTAACAAATGTTAGGGTCTTGTGTCTTGTAATGAGGAAATATGTCACTGAGTGCAGTGGTGTGTTTCCCTGGTGTGTGAATCTATGGCACAGATTAATAAAATAATCCATTGCAGACAGATTGACAGACATTAAAAGTGATTAGAGGTGACTCGTTGTTGGTTTTAATTTCTATATGGGGAGTGTATTAACCAAACTAACACAGGGAGAGATTTAGAGATTTAAGATTTTGTATCAAAGGCAGCTTGGACATGCTAGGATCTATTTTGAATCAAGCTGTTATAAAATCATTAGCCTCTAAACAGCACAGTTTCTGTAATGATATGTGAAACCTGATAACGGAAACATTACATTTTGTTTTGTTTCTGTAATGATATGTGAAACCTGATAACGGAAACATTACATTTTGTTTTCTGAAAGAGACAAATAACCAAAACACACTAAAGGTCTAAAGTAGAGTCCTAATCAAATGACACAAATGGACATTTAGATCACCCTGTATCAATACCTTACTATACTTGGGATCATTATGAAACAGAAGCTCTGAAATGTCTTTGATAAGGCTACACCAAGAGATTGTCTGATGTTCAGTTTAAAAGGTGGTATCACGTGTCATTATGCTCTTCGTGTCAAATGCCTTGAGAGGTACATGAAAAATGTCACGGTGACACATCCGATCTGGCTTACTGCTGCAACGTGTTATCTGAAGTGGCCATATTTTAATCTCTGTGTGTTCAGCATGTGTTTTATCACTGATCGGCCATCTGGCCCACAGAGCTAAGGTGGAAACTAAAAAAAAACTAGTAACCCTCCCCTTTTCACACCAGTCAGCAAGTCAGCATGAGAGGAAATGGCAAATCAGATAGTGAGCACATGTCACTGTTCTCTTTGAACAGTTTGCATGTGAAATTGCTGACATGTTCAGACAGTGGTGAAAGATGTACTCAGATTGTTTACTTAAGTAAAGTATCATTACCACATTTTAAAAATACTCTGTTACAAGTAAAAGTCCTGCATTCAAAACATTACTTAAGTATAAATACATCAAAACTGTACTTAAGTACAGTACTTGAGTAAAAGCACTCAGTTACTTTCCACTTCTGTGTCCAGATGTTTTTTTTTTTTATAAAACATGGAGTGTGAATGGTTGAAGCCACATCTTGTTCCTACTGCTATATCTATTCAGATATATAAGACCTGATTAAATTAGATCTGTACTCCACTCATAATGTTTTTCTTTAAATGTGTAATACAGCCGTGTGTGGCCAGGCAAAATCCAATAAAATAGCTTTTCATTTACTACATGTTTTGATTGTAGGATGACTTAATACAACTCATATTGGTGTCATTTAGTGATATCATGCTTTTGTGTTTGGTATTTGTGACTGAGCTGAAAACCCCCTTGTGGTCAATGTGCTGTTTTGGTGAGTAAATGTTCTCTGTTCCTTTCATGAACTGGGCATGGTGGTTGTCAGTGTTTACCGTATACTGTCTGTCGGGGAATTTTAGGTGGACACATGTAACCCACCTGATGTTGTGGTTATTGAGAAAAAAACCCCAAAACAAAACAAACAAACAAGCAAAAAACTGATACATAGAGGTAACTTTATTGTGAAGGGTTGTGCATTTTCCACTGTCATATGGGAAAAGAAATAAGTAGAAGATTGATAAGTAACAAAACCAATCAGGAACTGTCAGGGTCAGGTGAGATACACCTCACAAGTTCCACCCTTGGGTAGAGTCAGGGGTGTGGCAGAACAGAAAAACGGAGTATGGACAGAGATTAAAAGAGCTACATGTTTTGGGAGTTTACCTGGGTAGTGTGAGCAGAAAAGGCCAAAGACGCTTTAATATTGAAATTGGATATATGACATAGCGACTACGGATACAGTCGCGAGGGAAAGGAAGAAAAAGAATTGGCACCAATTGAAAATTTGTCGTGGTAGCGAGTGAAAGCACTGTGAGCTAAAGATAGTAGCTAATGGCTGACGCCATTAGCTCGTGTCCGGGCCAACAGTGAATTGGGGAATTCTACCTCGTTAGTGAGCGAGAAGCAGAAGGTAAAACTTTATGGTTACACCTATTTATTTTGTTGAATTTTATGAGAAATTAAATTGAGTGTTATGTTAAAACCATGCCATTGTGTGTTGAAGAGATAAGACGGCTGCGTTGTGTGTGCGCCATTCTGAGCGGACATTACCGTATGCTCGTATTAATACATGGAGATTGGTCAGTTTTTTTTTTTTTGTTTTAGGACATTCTATTCCATTCATGAAATACCATACCATACCATACCAACTTTATTTATAAAGCACTAAAAACAACCAGAGTGGACCAAAGTGCTGTACATTGCAATAAAACAGTATAAATTATAAACCACAAACAACAACATAAAATATAATCAATCAAATGACTAAAATCAACACAAAAATATCAAAATGCCAGGGAAAATAAATGAGTTTTTAAAAGAGACTTAAAAACAGACAGGGTAGAGGCTTGTCTAATGGACAGCGGTAAATCATTCCAGAGTTTAGGACCAGCAACTGTGAAGGCTCGATCGCCTCTAAGCTTACGCTTCGTTCTTGGGACACTCAAGAGAAACTGATTTGCTGACCTCAGAGAGCGTGTGGGTGTATGCCAATGAAGCAAATCAGTTAAGTAGGATGGTGCAGAGCCATGAAGGGATTTAAAAACAAAGAGTAAAATTTTGTAATGGACCCGAAAATGGACAGGTAACCAGTGTAGGGACTTGTAAAATTCATTTGAACACCATACATTGCTCCAGTAGCCAAACCTATTCCAGCTTGTTGGCCTTAATTAGAGATTAATAATTACTTGTCTAAACACTTGGCAAGTGTTACACACATCATAACAAACCTACATCTGAGTGAACTAATACTATGGGTCAACTGTCCTATCGTATTGTTGCTCTGAGTCAACTGTCCTATCGTATTGTTGCTCTGTGAGTCAACTGTCCTATCATATTGTTGCTCTATGAGTCAACTGTCCTATCATATTGTTGCTCTATGAGTCAACTGTCCTATCATATTGTTGCTCTATGAGTGACGTCTTTTTATGCAGTGTGTGAAAGATTTTCCATGTGCAAAACGGCAATTAAGAATCTTGATCCTTCCACAGGTCGCAGCGCAGCAGCTTTTCCCCACTCTGCGTGTTTCTTAATGTCAACAGATCCCTTGGAAAAATCAGAAACAATGTGTTAGTCAGTCTTAACAAACAACTCACAAATATATAGTTTAATTTTCGCCAAAGATTCAGTAAGTTCCTTAAAAACTTGAACTGGGGTTGTTCGTGTTTGTTGATCTCCTGACTTGGCCTGTTTAAATGCCCCCACACAGTTTCTGGATCTTGACGACCTTTAGTTTACCTTAAACCCTGGGTTTACAGTTGGCCTAAAAAACAAATCAAAGAACATAATGTATGGTGGAGCTGTACATTGAATCACAAAAGGGGAAAGTTTTTTTTCTTAATGTGGTTAAGTGGTAGCACATTGGTCAGACAGCAAACTCTTGAAGTGTCCTTTGATTGTCTTCGATTCTCTCCTTCCAGATGCCGTACAAGATGAACAATCTAAGCACTGGCCGGCCATTGTCCTCTATGCAATTATCAAGGAGGTGCCCCTACGTAGGTGGAAGGAATTCTTGCGTCTGCTCTCCATGGCTGACGAGCAGTTGGAGCGGGTTGAGCTGGAGGTCGGTTTGGGTCTGAGCTCAGTGGAGATGCAGTACCAGATGCTGAGGCTGTGGAGCCAGCGCTCTTCAGCAAGCCTGAATGATGTCTTCTCTGCTTTGCACTACATGGATTTATCGGGCTGTGCCCAGCTGCTGCAGGAAAGCCTGGAGAAGCTGCAGTCAAGGCCTGAAACCAAGCAAGAATTTACAGCCTGCAGAAATTAGACAGACCATAGTTTCAAAGGGGCAAAGAAGGACACCTGAGGCTGCACCTGGAGACACAAATATCACGCTAGCATACAGTGTCAGACATGGATGCCAAGTTCCTAACTGTAGCCACTACATGAGATGCATAAACCACCCCAGACTGAGAAATATAGATGTTCAGTACTAAGAGTTAAAGGCCATTTCCCAGCATCTTATAGGCCCTCTTTTAGTTTTTAGTGGCTAAATATAATCAAATGCACTCTATATGTACATTTTTAATATTTTACCTCAGATGTACACTTTAAATGCAGAATGTGTATATAGAAAATAATGGGTTTGTTGTTGCAGTGCAGAATCTACTGCAGGCCTGGAACTTGGATCAATAAGTCACTTCCTCAAATCCAAGTAACAACAACAGCAGTATTTGTAAGAACGAAATGCATGTTTGTTAATATTCAGGCAGTTCTCCTTTAACACCTTCAAACAGTAGGCGGAGATAATGAATTCTGAAAAAAAAATGAAAGGAAATCCTCTTCCGTGAAACTGTCAAAACAACCTTTCATAAACCTCCACCGTGTTGTGTGGCTTCTCTTAAAGGTCAACAGGGGTGGGCTGTGGTTTTAGTGCACAGTGTGGAAAATCAGATGCAACTCTGTGATGTGTACCTGAAAGGTGAACAGGGAGAGCTGTACATTAACACAGGTCTCCTTGTTTAAAAGCAAGGCATGTGTACAAGGTTATTTTTACCTCCAGAAATCAGTGCGTACCTTTTTGTTTTTAAAAAGAATTTTACAAGTCAAAGTAAACCTTGTCTTCAGTTTGAGTATTTAAACTGTATGAACATTTCAGTTAACATCTATGATGTTTGAGATTACTTTGTCCTCTGTCATCTTGTTTGAAAGACTAGTATCACAACTCAGCCACTGTTTCTTAATGTTCACCCTCTTGAGGGGAAAAATCTGAAATCCCCATAGGACGTCAGATTTTCAGTTTCCTTCTACTAAATGGTGCAAAGGCGCAGTAAGCTGGGTTTTTCCTCACCACTCATATTCCATCCAAACTGATGGTTTCCTCTCGTGGTGTTAAGGTATCTCACTTTGAGAATTTTTGTCAGTTCAATTACTGAAAGGGAAGAATTTGGACTTTCCAGATAATGGCTTATTGGCTGTGTGTGTGTGTGTGTGTGTGTGTGTACACTTTTGTAATTATTTCCCATTTTCTAAAACCACTTATGAATTCATGGTTATTCTCCTCATTATCCCACTAAAACTGCCAGGGTTAGGAATTTTATCCTCACTGGAGCCACCTGGATACAAATGTAAGGTAACATGGGGTGTGAGAGTCTCATCGTATACTATGTTATGAACAAAATTCCTGGCCACTAGATGGGAGTGTTGGCTGAGTGAATAGCAGAAGCTGGTGTACAGCTTTGGGACACATGAAAAAAGACAGTACAGGCATGTTACTTCATCTTTTGTTCTTGTGCTTAGATTAGACTAATCTTGTGAATTGCAAATTCTGCTCCAGCACAAGGAACAGCTGTCCTGCATTGTCCATCACTGTAAACTGTTCAGTTGCAGATTCTTCATGCTGACCATCGATAGGTACAGGCCTCATTTTATAGGCTATATCCAATGGAGGACACTAAAAAGCTACAATTTGAGAAGATGACGACTCTCCGGCAACAATTTCAAGCATGTTATTAGGCTACAGATAATATAAATGAGCATACACACATTGTCTATGAATAAAGGTAAAATTTTATTTGTCACATTTCTGTCTCCGGGAAAATTAATGAAGGTCTTTCTGGAGGTTTTTAAATGACCTTTACTCTTTCACAACTTTGCACATTTGTAGAAGCGCTGGCTCTGCCTTGGTTAACACAGAGCAGTAGGTTTTATTATGGCTTCAGTATTAATAGCCTGTGAAAATGTGGTACAACAACCACTTCCAATGAGCAGCCGCGTTTGTGGTTTCTATTGGCAACGGGACCCGAGCCCAACTGGACAAAGAGCTCTGGGACGTCTCAAGTTTGCTGTGATGTGAAGCGTGTTGCGGATATATTGTGTTGTGTTTATCTTGTTGCTTTCTCTCTGTGTCTTTACACCTGTCACAGACTTTAGAAATTGCACTGCACTGTTTGTTGTATGGCCACACACACCTTGTTGCCTTGGCAACTCAGCAGAGAGCTATTGGATTACAAAAATGGGGCCCATGGTTTCTATCCTCGGGACGTTTAGATACAGAAAATGAACTGACACGGACGGTATCGGTGAGTCAGTTTCCTTTTTCAGACTTTGAAAAGTCACAGATTTAGGTCAGCTCTGTTCAAGCTTTACTGTTGGCTTCAAAGGCCAAGGAGCAGGTAGGTGAACCACAGATCAGAGAGAGAGAAAGCCTGAAATACCCCTGGCTGCTCAATGTTCAGTATTTTAAAAAAAGTTGCTTTCTAAAATTAAACAATATTTGATATTGAGGCTGAATATTGTAAAAATAGTTTTTAAAGTGTTAGGCATCTTGAGTACCTACAGCCAGAGCACATCCAAATCTAATGCTATGAATAGCTTTTATTTTTATTACCTACCAAGTGAAGTAATGTCACCTGGTTCTTACTAATTGAGTATTCAGGAAATTATTTTTAAATATCTCAAATAAGGCATTTTTCACTGTAGACATTTTTATTTGTTATAGTGGGAAAAGCACAGGTGTTAACTTCACCACCAGTGATCCTCTCCTCTGGTCAAGTGCCCCAGTAAGCCACAACAATGAGCGCTATCATTAATTTTTTGAAAACGTGACTGGACAAGTTCATGGGAATGTAAGAATCAGAATCAGTTTATTGGCCAGGTGTGTTGGACACACGAGGAATTTGACTCAGGTACATCGGCTGTCAATGTGCAAACAGCAGACCAGCATAAGGCTGTGTAATATAACAAAATAGCAGTATTAACATCAACAAACAATGCAGAAAAAGCAGTATCAATAAACAGTAAACAATGCAGACAACAAGGGAATGTTCATTGAAATGAGATAATTAGGGATAAAAAGAGAGTACTTAAAACAGAGTACTAGAGACTTGTACGAGTCTGTATAATCTGTACAATGTATATTTACAGGTATTGTCCAGTCATACTGTCGTGGGTTAAGTGTTCATCAGAGTGATGGCCTGGGGGAAGAAACTGTCCCTGTGCCTGGTTGTCTTAGTGCACAGTGACCTGTAACGCCGTCCAGAGGGGAGGAGTTCAAACAGATTGTATGCGGGGTGTGAGGGGTCTGCAGTGATCCTCTCCACCCTCCTTTTGACCCATGAGGTGTACAGGTCCTCCATGGAGGCCACTGACTTTGACCTTTGATCTTCAAATCTAACCATTTGTGTCAAATCTGAAGAAATTCTCTCAAGGTATTCCTGACATATCATGTTCACAAGTGGCATGTGGCCCGATGGACAATCCAAAAACATAATCCCTCCACGGCTGTGGCTAATCCTAGTGCAGAAGCAAAATTAAAAAAAGAAACATCAGCTATAGCCCTTGGAACAACCTACCTGACAAATATTTTGAAAAACTGCACGTGTAGGCTACCTAAGAGCAGAGACACTCCAAGCCGATAGTCAGCCGTCAGCCAATTTTGGGCTGTCGGTAAGCATCTGCCGGGGCTCATCTTCCTGGTGTGTCTTAAACCGATGGCACTAGTCAGACTCTGTCAGCAGCTTTTTGGCCAATTCATTACGCTGAATCAGCATCTGCTGGTTCGTCCTCGTTGAGTGAGAGGAACCACTCCGATTGGCTGTTCAGTTTAGCAAATCAGTGCACGAGAATAGAACAGTTCAGGAAAGTCCCATTCAGCTTATTGCTGTAGTATCCATAATTTCACCCATTTTAATGCAGTGTGTCCTTGTTTTTTGCCTCAACAGCCTCCCTTTTTCCTCTGCAACCAAAAGACCAAGCGCAGAGAACACCAGTGCCATTTGTAACTTCTTATCAGACATTCTTGATTAGAAGCAGCCATAAACAGCAGCTGTATTGAAAGACAGCTGTTTTGTTTACCTCTTGTACTTCCACTGTCTAGCTCTTCTTCTTTCTCTTACTGAATGGTGAATACAGATACTGCCACCTGCTGGTAGGGGAAGTTTTTTTTTCTTGCACAGGTGGAGAACATACGTGCTAGTTGGCCGTTGGCTATAGTCTGTGTGGTGTGTTCAAATGCCACTTTTTCAACCCGACTGGCCCAGACATGAGGGGACACAACAGTCGTCCTTCCTTGGTGCAATTTCTTTCATGTCGACTTGGTGTGTCTCTGCCCTAAGACTTGGTGCTGTTTTTTGAAGGCAAAGGGTGGTCACAGCAGATACTGATTTAATTTACTTATTTGTTTAACAGTATCATCATTCTGAACAGGTAAAGAGAGAGAATCAGACCGAGTGGGCCTGCTACCAGATCATGACTGCTCTGGTTCGACCTGCAGTCAATGTTTCAGAGCTGTGTGAGGATGGAAACAAGTTCCTTGAGGCTGGAGAGCTGGACAGGGCTACCTCTCTCTACATGTCTGCCTTCAGGACTCACGCCACCTCCACCATGTCCCACATGCAGAAACTGGACAAGTCCAGCCTGGGTGGGGTGATCTCTACTCTTGAAGGTTGGCTTGACAATCATGGGGAGAACCAGCCTACTGAGGGTCTTAATAAAGGACTGGCTGCTGTCTTTCTGTCCACACTCTGTCCCAACAATCTGTCAGCCACCATTTTCAAAATGGAGTCTCTCCTGCAGAGTGGTGTGCATGGCTGTGAGGAGATCTTTGCTCGCTGCACTGCTTTGCTTGAGCGGAAGCAAAACCCTCATCCAGAAGGTTCGACTCGCGTGTTATTAGAGATAACTCGTGCTCTGGCCTGCTTGTGTTCAGAGCCTCATGAGCTCAAGGGGCTGAGGCTTTACCTCAAAGCCTACCAGCGTAACAAATCAGAAACTGTCACACTGCTGAAAAGCAGACAAACCCAGCACCTACCCAAAATAGTGAAGGCCTTTTTAGACCAAGTACTGCACATACACCCCTCTCTGATGCTTGACAGCAAGAGGGCAGTGACAACAAAGGAGAGTGGTAAGCTTGATGAAGAAGCTGCATCTACAATTATTGAATTTTTGTTGGCTATCTCACCAGGTAATAGAGAAGTACAGGAACTTCAAGCAGCATATTTGTTTTTGATAGGAAGCTTTGGGGACAGTGCAGAAGTGTTCTCTACTCTCTTGCATCAAAGACATTTTCAGAAAATGTCAGAGACTAGTACAAACAAATCATTCCAAGACACGCCTGAGAGGAGAGCTCGGCTCTTAACCAGTCGAGCAGCTGCTTGCTTCTCAGCAGGCGGACGGATGGCTGAGGCATGCGGTGACCTGGGGGAGGCATTTGAGATCCACCCTGCCACTGCCCGTATTTATTTCCAAAAGCTCTTCACAGATCGTGGTATTGGGGTGGCTGCTCAAAAGCACCTTCGGCAGCAGGCAGAGAGGGGCCTGTCTGGTTTCAAAGAGAGGGTACTCATCCGTCCAGACCTGCGCTCCACTGAAGGAGTTGAACTCCTCGACCCTGTGATCACTCAGTTACGAACTCTGTGCCATTTAGAGCCTGACGGGGGAGGCCGAGAGCTGCGGGTACGACTGGCTGACTGCCTACTTCTCAGAGGGGAGCAGAAAGAGGCTCTCTCTATCTGTAGCCAGCTAGCTGCCGCCCAAGGTCAGCAGAGCTATCAAAACACAGTGCAAGTTCTTCGTGGATATGCGCGGCTTCTCTCTGATGACCACAAGGGGGCGCTAGAAGACTTCCAAGCTGTGATCGAACATCACGCCCCACATCCATCCAGCTGTGTGCGGGCCCTTTGTGGCAGGGGGCTCCTGCGCATGATGGGTGACTTAAACTACCTCGCAGCTTTAGACTATGTGACAGCCAGCAGGCTGCAGCCTCAGGAAACTGCGCTGACTGTTCGCTGCTTGGTGCCATGGAACTACAGAGGGCTGCTGTTTACTGTTCTACTGGAACAAGGGCGAGCCATGCTGGAAGGGAATGGGGCGCATGACTCCAAGTCCACATTCATTGAGAACTCCAAGCGGCACCAGCAGGACAACCAGCTGCAGGCCTCATCAAAAAGAGACAACCACAGATCAGAGTATGACATATTGGTTTATTTAATACACAATGTTTTTGTCATATTAGCACACGTGTAAATAATAAAGATAGTTGAAATCCATTTAACTGCTTCCATTTCAGGGTCCTGGTATGGTTAATGCTGATGATTGTTCAGTTTAGATTAACAGAACTGAACTATTGTTAATAATATTAGTAACACCTGTACTTTTACATTAATAATTCAGAATGTCTCAGTACAAATTAATGATGTTGCACCTTTTCCCACTTTGTGCATTAGGACTCCTGCTGGTGTTCACTCCCTGGCTGTGCTGTTGATGGATCTCCAGCCAGGTGCTGATGGGCCACAGATCCTGGTGGCCGATGCCTTGTACCAGCTTGGCCGGGTGGAGGAGGCTTACCGCTTGTTACTTTCCATTGGGCCCACCAGTCCACGGGCACCCATCCTGGTGCGCCTTGCCCTGCTGCAGCTGCACAGAGGCTTTCATTATGACACCAATCAGGTATGTATAGTATGTTTAGGGCAGTGAATCCTAAAGTGATGTCCAGGGGCACCATTATTTCTTCAGGAGTGTTCATATTATATGCGATTTAAGATTTCTCTGTGGCACACTCTTGAAATAGCTTTGAACAGCCTAGAAGTTTATCTGTTACATTTGCATACAAATGTTGTGGGATACCTACTGTACTGCAAATACTTTTTACATCAACTGAAATTTTAGATTTGCACCCTCAACGTGCAGATTTTCATTTTTTGAAAACTTGTCAACAGTGACTTGATTCAACCCACAGGTCTTTGTGGGTCTGTAAACAATGATGAATTGTTTGAACAAAATATTTTTTTATTGTTATACATGAGCTGATAATAGGTCTAGTCCCTATCCCAAATTACCTTCCTTCTTCTTCATCTTTTATAGTGTACAATACAGTACTCTGATACAGTGGTACAATAACAGTATAGAAATGTGTCAGGTAGCTTAATACCTTTGTTTAATTTTACATCTTTTACAGTACTTTTTTTTTTATCTGTCCATTTTCCCTGCAGCTGCTGAAAAAACTGATCCAATGTGGTAACACCAGCTGCTTGCGCCCCCTGTTGGCAGTGGCACAACAGAAGGACCGGGCACTACTGCAAGGACACTGTCACTGTGCTGCAAAACGCATCTTGGAGGGCACGAGAGAAGAAAGCTCTGTCCGGGAGGCTGTGGCTTATCTCTCCATTGCTATCATGGCCTCTGGTGATCCAAATCTGACTGATGAGATATTGATGTTTGTTACTGGTCTGATGCTGATTGTTAGCTTGCAATAGCTGATAGTGAATAGATAGAGGTTGGCTGTGTTTGGCTTCAGTTCAGCAGAGTTACATCTTTCATAACACTTACCATAAAACAGACAGATTGGCTATACATGTATTTAAACAGCCGGCCTGAGCAGAAGCCATTTGGATCAGTGCTCTTTTATGTTTACATTTGGTACTCGCCAATAAAGTTGAAAGTGATAACGTGTGAATATTAAAAAACCATTCAAGTAATTGTATCTTTCAAGGTGGTGATGCAGCAGACTCTTTGCTGGAGAGAGCGAGGTGTTATGCCCTGCTGGGCCAACGCAAGACGGCAATCTTTGATTTCAGTACTATTCTGAAGGAGCATCCAAAACATGTTCAGGCCCTCTGTGGAAGAGGCTTCACCTATCTTATGCTGAATCAACAGAAGGTATTCTTGAGATGAAGCACTGTCAAAATGCATCTGAGTTCAGAGCTTGTACTGTACTTCAAATTGTTTATTTTTTCCAACTAATCATTGAAGTCCCAAGCTTTCTTTGATACTATATGGTTATTTTCTTCTATACTTAAAACTAAACAGTTTGAACAACTTGAATTTCATGTGTCACAATATCTTATGCTGGCAGAGAAGTGAACACATCAAACTCTAGGAAGGATACAATTGTCTGGTGCAGCTGTAGGACATGTATATTTCTTTTCAAAGCAATTTTCAAACTTCAGTTTTTCCATACTGTAGGAATGCACTCATGATATCCTGGCAGCACTTCAGATAAACACTAACATAGTCACCAAAGACATTCTGTCACTCAAGGACAAGGCACGGAGGCTGGTCTGTGATTGGCTGCATCAGTTCTGTCGAACCAATCTGTCAGACATCCTGGTCAATCATGCTGTCCCCTGTCATGAAGAGCTGCTCAGGGAGGCTTTTATAATCAGTGGAGCTCTTATGAGGACTGACTGCAGAAACCCCAGATGGCATCTCCTCTATGTGGACATCCTCTTAGCCAAAGGTAAGATGGGAACTTTGCCATTTAGAGATTATGGTTTAGGCTGTGTGATAAATCCTGTTTGATAAAAAAAACACCTACTGTTGAACCCGCCACCTGTTTACAATAATGCTTACTCCTTCTGTTATGGTCCATCTACTTCAGGTGACATTAAGGCAGCAGGTGCTCATCTGTGCCAGGTGTTTGGCCAAGAACCAAGAGATGCAGAGGCCCAGGCCAGGGTGGGTGTGGTGGAGGCCTGGCAGCAGAACTACCGCAGTGCAGCTCGTAGGCTCAGCAAAGTGAGTGAGAAGAATCCCTCCAGTCTGCACTTCATGTTGGCCTTGATTCCATTCAATCAGCAAAAACTCATGGCACAGGTAAGCCTACATGATGAATCCCAGATTTCAGTTTTCAAAGCAAGTGCCATTGGAAAATTGCATTTTTCTGGGTATACCTTATTCTACTATCATCAACAATTTCATTTTAAAATGCGTTTTTCCTAAATCTTAAGGTACTTTACACAGAGTATTTATCCATTTCTAAATTCCATATAAATTGCTTGGCGTCTATATATTGCAACAGGCAGCAGCACAGGAGGCCAGCAGCGTGTCATCAGATGGGAAGTGGGATCAGGCTCTTACTCTGTTGACTGTGTCTGTACAAGCAGTGGGCAATCATAGACTCCAGTATCTTCGCCAGCGGGCTGCCTGCCTTGCTCAGCTGGGCTTACATGAGCGGGCCATAGCTGACCTGGGCCAAGTTATCCAGAAACATGAGGCATCAAGCGCCAGTTGTTCAGTTGACCTGCAAGTCTGGGCGGAGGACCTGTGTCGGCGAGGTCACAGCCTGGTGCTCTGCTCCAGGGAAGGTGCGGCCCTGGAGGACTATGCTCAGGCCCTGGAGCTCCACAGGGACCATGCTGTCCAGTGTGTGGAAGCTGGTCTGGGGAGGCTGCGCCTGGCTGAATGCTTCCTCCGGGGGGCGCTGCAGCACTATGGGGAGCAGGAGCTCAGTAAAGCTTGGACATTGATTGAATGCGGACTCATTGTGGACAGTGATAATGCAGAGCTCCGCAGACTGAGGGCAAGGGTCAAACGAGAAGTGGCCAGTCCCTGCAATGTCAACTAGTCAGAGATTCAAATAGGACACAGGACCTCCAGCTGAGCTTATGAAATATAGCCATGTCAGTGCCTTTACTTTCAGATGTTGTTTTGTGAAGGAACATCTAACTAAAATTTTATACACCAATTAGCCAAAACATTAAAACCACTTGTCTAATATTGTGTAGGTCTCACCGAACAGCTCTGGACTGTCGAAGCATACAAGGCATCTTCTGGTATCTGACACAAGATGTTAGCAGCAGATCCTTTAATTCCCCAGACTAGTCAGTCTGGAACTTTTTGATTGAAACATCCATCCTGATGAGGGTCATGTGGAGTCAATCCCAGCTGGGTGAGAAGCAGGGTACACCCTGGACAGGTCACCAGTCTATCACAGGGCTGGCATGGAGACAAACAGCCAGACACACCTACACAGGCGATTTAGAGTCACTGATCAACCTAAGCTGTGTTTCTTTGGACTGTGGGAGGAAGCCGGAGTACTGGGAGAGCTCCTGGGACTCGAACCTGGAGCCTTCTTGCTGTGAGACAGCAATGCCAATCACTGTGTCACCATGCCGGTCAATTGAAGCATCCATAATTGAAGTATTGTGAAAACGAATTCAAAGAATGATGGTCTCAGTAATGATATGGCATAAAGGAAATCAGCCAACATGAACTTACATAGCACTGTTTAATTCAAATTATCACACCTATATAAGAGATTTAGGAAAGTGCCGATGTGCAGGTTTTATGTTTTTAAAATGGAAGCGGCAGTTTTCTTTAATCACATCCATGATACAATTTAGTATGGATAAATACAGCAAATCATAGCTAAATACTGGCGTATAGTTCATACCACTGACTTTAACATATATTTAAACAAAAGTACAAAGTACTTGTACAAATCAAGGACAAAATCACTACATTAGTACTCTTCTCAGTGCATGTGAAGCAGGACTTTATTATTTAAAATTGTCAAATACTGCATTAAAATGTATACATATGCTGTCTGTATAACTTGTGTTAAGAAGCTATGTGTACTTTGGTATTATGCATACACAGTAATGTATTGTGGTTCCATGTTGCCGAAGTAGGATTTCTCCCACTCACTCATGAGGTCAAAATGCAGTGGGCGATCACAGAAGGTGCAGGAAGCTGTGGAGGGGCTGTTGAGCAGGAGTCCTGCCTCCTGCCACACCTCCACCAGTTTCTCTGTGAAGAGAACAGAAACACTTATCAATGAGCAATTAAATGCCAATTGTAGTTCTCAAAAACGTCAGTTATAATGATTTTTGCCAGCACATGCTCAGGTTATGATGTGTGACAACAATTTTACATTCACTAAGGGCATTTATATAAATCACCTGCACCTGCTGCTGTCCTTGCTTAAATTGAGAGTAACTTAGTTATTCTCACCCACAAAGTACTCCATCATGGCAGGATTGTGATGAGGAGATGGAGCCAGGCGCAGCAGCTCCTCACCACGAGGCACTGTGGGGTAGTTGATGGCCTGGACATAGATGTTGTGTCTCTCCAGCAAAGTGTCACACACCTTTGTGTTCAGCTCAGCATTGCCCACCTAGTAAACAGAGATTACACAGGTCATACCGGCAGGAAGCGACGCCAATACTGCAGTTTACTCAGTCTTTACCATGTGCTGATGGATTAATTATAGGCTTTAATATTCAGTTTCAGCATTTTAACAAAGCAATTACAACTAATGAAATAATTAGCAAATAAATAATGCATTAAGAAATGAAAACCTTTCAACAGGTTTTAAATAATATATTAATTACATTTTACAATGAAATCACAAAATAAATACTTTCAGAAAAAAGAAAAGCTTGCATAATATAAATGCTAACTTCATTAACTTAATGACTTATAACTGTTTTCATAATTAAACACTGAAAACGTCTAACTACTCCAGTGGCACACTACACACTATTGTCTGTGCTGTGCTTGCATGAGGACTATGTATTTGGTTGCACAGGTGTTACTATTGATTATCATTAACATTTAATTAACACCAACAATTGCTTTGCTTTACTTTGCTGTAGCAGAAAGCCCCAGAGTCAGCACGAACAACCAGGCCAATGAAAGTGAAGTAGCTAAGTTACAGTCACTCAGCATTAACTTTATTATTTACACCTTGTTTTTCCTATGGTGATATGTCAAAATATCAATTTCCATGAAAAAGGGCTATACACAGGCGCTCCTACAAATGGCTGCAGCTTACATGTATTTTTAATGCTTAACAGTAGAAGTGGTTTCCATATACAGAATATCAGAATAGTATAACTATCAGAGTTTTTCCCTAATGATGTAAGAAACTAGTTTGTTAATCATTTCCAAGTAGGAGATAAGTCCCTGTAATGCTAATGAAATTAGTTATAGACTTGTGCTTGCATAGCTGGCTACAGATGATATAGTTTTGACCTTAGGAACTTTTGGCTGTGGTCAAGTGAGGAGCTGGTAGATAGAGATAATGCTGTATAGCAGCGGAGGCAGCGGCAGTGCTACATCTTCATACCCGTATGGGGATGATGTGGCTGGGGCAGTTGACCACAGGTAGGCCTTTATCCATGAGCAGCTGCCTCATGTGTTTCACGTTCCGCTGGTGGGCTCTGCGGAGAGCCTGCCCCTCGTGGCTCTTCAGGACCCGGACAGACTCCAGGGCTCCAGCCAGGACCATCGGGGGCAGGGCAGTGGTAAAGATGAAGCCAGCTGCATAGGAGCGCACTGTGTCCACCAGGGCAGCACTGCTGGCAATGTAGCCTCCCACACAGCCAAACGCTTTTCCTGAAACAGTAACAGATGACAGAAAGTACATGAGGTGAGGAAATAGTGAATAGTTGGTGATAGTTGAAGATGGTGTTGTACAGTCCAGTACGACACCACCTCTATGACCTCAATAATAAACATATTATTGAATTTATACATTTATGACAAGTTCACCAGAAACTGAAACATTTTGAGCTTCATAAACACAAATGTTACAGTGACACTGTTGCATTGAAGTGCATACAATTGTACAGGTGCAGCTATTAATGTGAGCGGTGAGTGTATATAGAATCACGTTCTGGTTGTCGAGGTTGTTGACCTGAGCCAAACTTCTTTTTTGGCACCAACATTTAAGTGACTTTTTCAATATAAACTGCTGATAGTGAGATTAAACACTCACAGTTTTAACTCACTTTTAAAAATACAGTTTTTTTTAGAGTTAATTGATGTGATGAATTGACAAATGATTGTGTGGTTGACAGGGATTTCTGCCTACAAATTTACAGTCATCATAAAGCTACTCCCTGATGATGGTTTTATCAGTTTAACCAGAGAGGGAGTAGAGTCCCCACCCAGCTGATAAAACCTCTTGCTTCTTTTGATGAGAACTCACTCCTTTCCTGTCCTCACTGGAGGAGAGCTCAGAGAGCCAGTTAGTGCAAAAGAGAGGCTGTAAGTGGGAGTGGGCCTAAAAGAGAGCCAATTAATCTACTGTAGGACAGTCTGAAGCCGTTTGCCTTGCCCCTTTTAGTGTCATGAAAGGATATGTTGGTGTATGACTGATATTACCACTGTGGGAGTGTCCTTTAAACTGGGTATTTCAAATAAAATACAATATAGACATGACAAAAAGAAAAAACAAACAAAACATTAGCTTTACTAGAATTGGACTTAGTGCAGATGATACTCACCTAAGGTCCCAGACACAATGTCAATCTTGTGCATTATACTGTCCCTTTCTCCAACTCCAGCTCCATGGGCTCCATACAGGCCCACAGCGTGAACTTCATCAACAAATGTCAGAGCTCCGTAATGGTGAGCTACATCGCACAGCTCTTCCAGAGGGCATATGGCACCTGAAAACCCCAGAAAATAAGGTGGTATAATTAGAACGGCACAATACAGACAAACAGCTTCAAATGTCATCCTGATACTGTATGTACTGTAAACATAAAACACAGCTACTCACAATTTTCAAATATTTATTTTTTGTCTTTTTAAAAATCCTGCCAGATACGTTCACAGTTATCCATTTAGTTTTCAGTTGTACCTGATGAAACTGTGACTAGTGTGATATTCACACAGAGAACTTGTGCTAAAGGAGGAAATCAGTTTCTTCCCATGGGAGACAGTGACGAAGGACAGATACTGCAGACTGCATAATTGTAACATAAACATAAATAGTCCCATACCATATTTTGCTGATTACGACTGTTCAACAATATAATATACATATGTATACTGTAGATTTATTAGAGATATGATTAACAAATTTATATGCAATTTCTTCTCATTAATGACACCAAAAACAGTGTGAAAAGGGTTTTGGTCAAGTTAAGTAAAATCAGCTTTAATTCATATAGCCCAGTATTGTCCAGTATGTCACCGCAACTTAACACTTATGTTACTCACCGTCCATATGTTACTCACCGTCCATTGAGTGCACAGTCTCAAATGCCACAATTTTGGGGGTCTTTGGGTCTGAGCGTCGCAGTAGTTCCTCCAGGTGTTGGCTGTCATTGTGGCGGAAGATGAAACGCTTGGCTCCGCTGTTCCTGATGCCCTGAATCATTGATGCGTGGTTCCCTGCATCAGAGTAGATCTCGCACCCTGTATGTCATTGTGAAAACACAGGGAGTCCAGTGAGACTCACAACAGTATTCACCTTTTCTACAATGTATAAAACAAGACATGTATCGTTGTCTGAACTATGAGCCGCAGAGCTCTTTCCTAAATGTCATCACCTCAGTCTAGTAATATGACCATGTGCCTATATGATCAGAGGTTAATACTTACCTGGCAGCATCTTAGCCAAAGTGAAGAGGGTGGAGTCATTTGCCACAAAGCAGGAGGAGAAGACCAGAGCTCCATCTTTCTGGTGCAGCTGGGCCAACTCCTTCTCCAGAGACACGTGGAAGTTACTGGTGCCTGAGATGTTCCTGGTCCCACCTGCCCCTGCACCGTGCTTGTCCAGGGCATCCCTGAGAACATTCAGAGCAAAACGATATAACATCTGACTCACATAATCTATGTCACGGTAGGTATCCCATCGCTTCTTTTTTCCAAAGGTAGTAAAGTAGTAAATGAATAATAGTGTCTTTGATTCAAAAATAAAGTGAGAATAAGTGATTTCCTGTATTTTTATAATATTGTGATTGCTTTTATTAATATTATTTATTAATAAATTATATATAATATTAACATTTTATTTCAAATGTATAATATTTTAACATTTTTATTTTATTTTAAGATTTATTAACTTGACCTTTGGCTCCCTGAGTTAATTGTTTCAAGCCTCAAAATTGGATCTAGAATAATCTTGAAAAAATAAAACAATTCAATGATAGGCAAATTTAAATAAATAAAATACATAATTTGACTAATTGACACTTGACTTGGACTTGCTTTGACAAGAATTGTAATTTAACTTAAGCTCTTTTTGAGGTGGCCTTTCCTCTAAAGACTTACAAACGTTTGTTCCCTGCTGTCTCATTTTACCTGATGGCAGATACGACCCGCGGGTGTGAACTCATTCCCAGATAGTCGTTGCTGCACCAGACAGACACCTGGGTGCCCTCCCTCTCCGTGTCAGAGTAATCCTCTGCAAAAGGGTAGACCTCAGCAATCCTGTTCACTGTCTTAAAGACTCTGTATGTGTGGTCCTCCTTTTTCTCAGCTATCTTCTCCATGAAGAAGCGGTCATATTCGTAGCTGGATCCGACTGCGGGAGTGATAGGTTTGAGTTTATATCAGTTACAGCACTCAGTGAACAGCTATCAGATTAAGCAAATTAAAAGGAGTAACAGGACTTCACCATATTAAATGAGTGGTATGGGAGGCTTTCTTTCAGCCCATTTTAACTGTAAACCATACCCATGTTGTCTTTAAGGAGGTGGGTGATGGTGTTGCTTTCAGCTGATGTTGGGAGGATTGAATCCTTTAAACCCTCCAACAGTGATGTCATCAGTCCTATAAAAGAGGAGTACAGGCACTTACTACTTTGCCTTCTCTTTGATATTTGGCAAATTTGTTTCTGTTAAAATTTTAATTCAGTGGCTCTGGTCTTGTGTATGTTCACTGCAGCATCACTACGGCCTGTTAATTCTACCTACCTTCTTTGACATCCTCCTGTACTTCAAGGCTGGCACGGACCATCCCAATCTGAGAGCTGACAAAAGGGCACTCCTTTGATACTGACACGGCCACCTGAGTAGCCGTCTGAGCAAACAGCCTTCTCTGATCCACTGTGGGAAGTTGGTTACACTCTGATTTGGTGGCTGAGTCACCCAGCTTGGCTTCCAGAGACCCTGGGCCGCTCACAGTGACCTGGCGAGCGATGATGGGGCATTGCTCGGCCAGAGACAGTAAAGCAGCTCCTGTTCTCCTCAAAGCTGGCTTAGGAACTGACTTCAAAAATGGGCAGTGATGAAGGAAGGCAGCCATGCTGCAGCTGTTCTTACTCTGAGTTAAGACAGAACACAGGGGAATAACTGTTTTCTATAAAAACTGACTCATCATCTGCAATACTGTCTTCAAAGAGTAAGAATTTTCTTGCATTTAGTGTGTGTAAACACATATTTACATTCTCCTTTGGAAACTGTTGTCTTCATGGAAAACACACCTCTAGCTTCTAGTGTCTAGTTTAACTGGTTAACAGCGTTCAAAGGGACTAAAGATACAGCCTATGCAGTTGTTCGCTTTAGCTACACATAGCAGTAGGTGTCTCCCCCAGGGTGCGGCAGGCTGCTGCTGCTTATCTTCACTCTGCAGGCGCTGGAGACCTACTCTGACTGACGTCATGGCCGCTCTTTCCTGAGAACTGTAGCTATTAGCATTATGTAGCATTAGCTATCAAATAATCCTCAGCAGGGAGGCATCTACATTTTTTTTATTAATACCCATCATTTCCCTGCTATTAAAACTGTTTTCAGACTCAGAGAAAAAAAGAATAATGGCTATAATATTCAACCAATAAACAATCAAATAATCATAACAAAGTCATACTTGATTTGGATTTTATTTGATGATCCACTTTATATGTCGTTTAATTTACAAACAGAGGCCAGCTGTATCATTTTGCTCACAGTCCCCTGTGGCCAGCAGATAAAGTAATTCTTGGGATCTGTCGCTTTCACTTGTGCTGAGATGTTATCTTTATGTTGCTCTGTCAAACCCTACAAGTACAGTAGGTCAAAAAGTTTATCTCCACATTGTTTTGTTGTTGTTGTTGAAAACATTTAACTACTGATCACTTCCAAAAAATGCTACATATCTTTAAATTAGCTATATTTTGTGCTATAAGAGTTAAGTGGAGTAACCACACCTTATGTCTCCTCTCACTGACTGTTAACCAAAGTCATTTAGGAAAATACTGTGTGCGCATGACAGGTTCTCCACTACAGGATTAAATCAATACAATAAAAGAAAGTATAAATACCTATGACAATAAGAGTGCTACTAATAATACTCACAGTACAATTACCTCTACAGCATTACTAAAATCAGAATAAAAGCAATAATTGAGATACTAACAACAATAATAAGACAGTTACAATCAGAAGTGAAGACCGTCAGGGAACTCACCTGTTGACCTGCACTGAGGACGAACTTCAAAACAGCAACTAGACAAACGGTCATTAAGTGACAACACTTATTGGTCAGCTGCTGAAAAGCATTATGCAATCAGCTCTACTCCGCCCCTCAGAGGCCTCTGTATGGGTCTGGGCTTTGGGGGCCACTCAGCAAATCATGTGTGTGTGTGTGTGTGTGTGTGTGTGTGGGAGGTGTGGTTAGTTGTGTCACTCTTTGCTGTGTGTAATGGCTTTATGGTGGACTTGTTACTTCCATGCCTGAGGAGCTAAACCTACATTTTCAACAATATAGAAAATTCTCTTTTTGTCTGTTTTTGTGATTAAAATATTATAATATTCTACAAACATTAAAGCGCTATGGGGTAACCCCACCAATTAGTGAATAGCACGTACACACATTAATGTATTATATGACTTAATGTAGTTGTTACCAATTGTAACTCCTCCATCTGTAACTGACTTACTCAGTATTACCAGTTGTAATAACATAAGATACAGTATGTCTCCATTTCTTACATACATATTAAGTATTATATATTTATTTATTTTGTATGAAGATGCCAAATGTTGCCAAAAGAAACCTAGTACATACACCTTGAGTTAAGGCCTTTCTATTTTTTCAGGGCTCTAGACTTGAAGCCCAACATGTCCTCCTGAGGTTGGAACACACTTAAAGCAGCTATAATTCACCTGTCCCTGTTTTGTACATGCCCATAAACAGCTGATGAAATCTCTGTAAGATTTGTTCATGTGTGTTATCATTGCTTATCATCACATTATAACTGCTGTCAAATACAAATGCATTTAAATGTATTTACAAATGACTGCTACTGACCCTGCTTTATGGACTATTTAAGCTAATGAGTGTTTATATTTGTTGTGTTTATATGAGTATTTATTATTAATGGTGCTGAAATAAAAGTCATAAATATCAACAGAGAGCTCCCCAGATCACTACTGACACTAAAATTATTAATGACACTGAACATAATGTCCCCACTTCCCATTAGTAAACCCTTATGCACGGGCACAAAATAAAATATCATGTAGGCTACAAGTCGTGATAAGGTTACTGAGGTTACTGATTTAACAATGAGCTAAATACTCCTGTTTTTCTTATTTTTGTTCAGCCTGTCTTCTGTAAAACACACTCCCTGACATGCATGTGTGTTTGCGCGTGCGTTTGGACCACCAGATGGTGCATTCCTCTGACTTTTATGAATCGGTGCTGCTGCCTCCGCTGGTCGTGTAGAGGCGGAGTTTTTCTGTCGACGTGCAGGCGTTGGGCAGCAGGCAGAGGGCAGCAGGCTGGGTGCATCTCGTCCCGACTGGATCACAGGGCCAAACAGCATCATCATCCTCTATCCACCCTGACGAGGACAGCCTCTCCGGGAGCTCAGAGGGACGCTGCAATCTGATCAGAAAAACGGCAGAAATCGCATCAGGAACGACAAGATGCTGGCCTGTACAGAGATGATCACCATGTGTCTCCAGTCTGCCAAGCACGAACACTTCAGAAAGCAGCTTGACCACAATCAAAATCGAGGCATCGCTCTCTTCCATGATGTAAGTACACACTGGATTTGCAATGTTCAAGTGGTACACCACCTTTGAAATTTAGTCTTTTTCACGGATATATCTCTGGGACTAATTCTTGGTTATGTTTTTGCATGATTGTATCCACGTTTAGACGTTTGCTCACATTCACCTCCCGGGGGATGGGGGTATAATAGATTTACTGTCCTTATATCCTGCTTTTTATGAATGCTTCATACTGAGACTGAGCATTTAAGCCTCCCATTCACATGCGCTGGATGTGCAGCAGCTCTATTACGTAAGAAAGGTGAGTGCGCGCCCGCTAGTGCGTGGATAACAAAGGAAACAGTCATCTGACCTACAAATGTTCTGATTCGTTTCACCTTTTAACCTGCAAAGCATCAGTGTAGTTGTTTTAACTTGGCTCCTGGGGGTCATGACTGGTTGTATAGCCCAGATGAAACATGCATGTTGTCTACAGTATGTAAAACGTGACATGGTGTACACTTTTAATGAGCAGCCCTCCCTATGCACAGTACTAAACCAAAATATAAAAACAGAAAGATCTTACATTTTCAATTATTTAATCGAGGATTTGCTGGAGTAGCTGACAGGGTTGGATTTACACACACAGTGGTCTCCAGCTCTGCTGCCTGCCTCTTTATCATTACAGTACTTTGAAATCACAGTTTTTTGTTTAGAGCCTTTATAGCAGCGCTGAGGACAAGACAGATGTCTTAGCAGCATCATTTACTAGACTTCCTTACAGATGGCTGTAAGTAAAATTATCTTTTTCTTTGAGGTATATTATTGACCGGCAAAGGGAAAATTAGACTGCAGCCAGTGTGCAAGTTGTTTACTGTGCTGTAAATGCAGTTAGCATCATTCACTCCAGCTCATTTGCTTTATAGCAGCCAAGCTGACACATCTTCGGGGAATCTAGTGGCTGAGGGTTAATCGTTTATCCTATAATAGCTGCAGAAAGTAAGACTGAACTGGAAAGCAGTGATCCAACTTAACTGTCATGATCCCTTTTTAGGAAAACTACTAAGTTATTGGCCTGCACTGATTTTGTTTTACTATTATTCATCTCTCTTCCTAACAACTAAATTGTGCTTGTGCTCCAGTCATGCTTGCAGTATTTCAGAGAAAACTGACCTTCCCTCATGATTGATTTCCTCTGCCCAGACTCAGCACATTTAGACTTTAGACAGATTTTGTATTTTTACATCTGTCAATTAATATTACTTGATCTGAAGGAGCCATTGTGTTGCTTTTAATAGACAGGTGTGTGAGGGCTGTCAGCCTTTATACCTCTGAGATGGATTTCACTGCTGTATAAAATCCAGCAGTTTGTTTCAGAGGCTGATGGGAACCATTGTCATTTCATCCATAGCTGAGAGGCTGTAGATTCTCTCAGTGTCAGGGACTGGCTAAGACAGAGATGACAACTGGGCAAGATTCACATAGCTAATATTGTTTTTGGAAGATCATCATCAGCTCAGTGGGATGGCAATGGCTCCGTCGACTCCACCAACCTCCCACCTACCAGCACAAAACCTGTACTGTGCATCTCCTCCTCAGCTTCCTCCAGAGACTACATGTATTGCCTCATTTTGTTTTCCAAATTTTAAGGCACAGCACTCTGTGGTGTTGTAGACAGGATGCTTACATCAGCACTAGGGTTTACAGCGATTTGATGGTGACAGTGCAGCAGCATCACACCGGTTTGTCCGTGCAGAGAAATAAAAGGACCATGCCCGCATGTTTCAGTCCAATCAGTGCAAAACCACTTGTACTTTAAACGAAACCTTCTGCAAAACATCTTAGTTTTGAACCTGAACAATACCTCGGCTGGGCCAATATTGTTAGGTTGATATTAAGCTTCTAACACAGACTTGCATGATTAACTAAAAGTAACATGCAGGCGCAGAATTGTCAAGGAGATGTTTTATAAAGAACAACTCGAACAGCTTTCCTGTACTTTACATAGAAAGAAAATAAAGACTACAGATTAATATTACTAATTAATACATAAATATGATTTATAATAAAAATAATTTATTTCTCATACAATACAGGCATCCCCACACACTCCTTCATTTACTATGATGTTTTATCTATCTGAGTCTTACTGCTTTTTATTAGCTTAAATGCAAATGTGAATTTTGCTGTTGTTAGTTGTTAATGGTTCTCATTTAGTTTACTGTCAGACTTTTTGGCAAGTTTAACTGTAAAATCTTCAGGTCGCTATATATTTTGAATCTAGCTGGAGTTGTGTGTAACCCGTCATAGCAAACATCATGGTTTGATGTTTTAAAAATCTGCTCTTAAACTGCATTACCACACAATAGCATAACTTTGAAATGAATGAACATTCTCTACATTTGCTCGGTCCTCAGATTTTCTGTGTGGATGTGTCTCAAGCGGAGAGGGGGGTGTTGATAAAAATGGGATGTGAGCAGAGCAGGTCCAGGCCTTTACATTCTGTTGTGCTGGAAAGGTGACATGTGGAAGTAAGTGCACCGCTCCACTCTGATGATACAGTTTATCAACCAGCCGCTGGACTCGCTTGGTCCTCACAGTGTGACTGAGCAGGAACAAAAAAAAAAACAGAGAAAATGAAAGAGGGACCACTCTGATCTGACAAACAACACCTCACACTCCACAAAAAGGTCTGACTTTTCACAGGTTTGGTGTTACATGAGGATGAAGATATTAATAATGACTTTATTATCATGTTCACAGGTTGAATGAATGGACATAAAGGACTGTCTCTTCCTGCTTATGCAGATTTGACATAAAACTGATGGAGCTGCCTTGAAACAGCATTGTCGCTCTTCCTGGACAAAAACAAAACTGAAACAAAACAAAAGCTAGTAGCCTTTCATTTCCTGGGGTGTTTCATGTCTCCTGTGTTATCAAAAGTGCAGCAGAGGCAAACAGGAATACCTCTGCTGTAGTATGCAAAAATCTTAGTGTGCATTTGTGTTGATCAAAATTAAGTGTTAACTCTTGAAGAACCTGTATTTCCTCCTAAATGCTCAAACATGTAAACTATCATTACCAATGTTTGATTTGTCCAATATCTTTTGTCATCTGTACGCCAGACCTTAAACCCTAAACACAATCTTTTTCTCTTATTGCAGATTTTCCGCCGGGCAGACAAAAATGGTGAGTAAGCAAAATATGCAGCTAATGTGGCTAACGGCTAGTGGCTAGTGTATGTGGTTAATGACAACTCAATTAAAAATGTCTTTGAATGCATTGTTGCACACAGAAACGTGATGCGGCAGTGGGAAAAGGCATGGCTTTAATGGCTGTGTTCAGGTGGTCTGGATTGGTTCTGAGGGGATTTCTATGAACCCAGTGGAACTTATCTTTTCATTTACCGCTCTCCATTAGATAGAAAGCCTATAAATTAAAGTCAGGTGCAGCTGCATCTTTTTGGTTTTGCGCTGTGACTGGATTTAACAGGATGAACTCCTGTAGCTGCTCACCATGCTGTGCTCACCTTTTCCTGTTTTCCTCTGTAGAAAACACATTTTAACTTTAAATAGTGCAGATTCACTAGAAACTTGCACCTAATTTGATATTAAGGTGTTACAGTCTTACATTTCAGAATCAGAATCAGCTTTATTGGCCAGGTGTGTCGGACACATGAGGAATTTGACTCAGGTACCGCGGCTCTCAATTTGCATGTACTTGTCTTTATGTAAGGTAGCAGTGGGCAAATAAAATGTAAGGCTGAGAAAAGAAGTAAAGAAGTAATGTGCAATCAAGCAGAGGAATGTGCATTAGGAATAAAATTAAGTACTATACACACATAGTCTGGATTCAGCGGATCGATATGTACAAGGTATATTTACAGGTATTGCACTGAGGATTATTGTCTAGTCATACTGTTGTGGGTTAAGTGTTAATCAGAGTGATGGCCTGGGGGAAGAAACTGTCCTTGAGCCTGGTTGTCTTGGCGCACAGTGACCTGTAGCGCCGTCCAGAGGGGAGGAGTTCAAACAGGTTGTGTCCCGGGTGTGAGGAGTCTGCAGTGATCCTCTCCACCCTCCTTCTGACCTGTGAGGTGTACAGGTCCTCCATGGAGAGCAGGCTTGCACCAGTGATATTTTCTGCAGTCCTGACTGTTCCCTTGAGTCTGTTCCTGTCCTGTTTGGTTGCTGAGCCAAGGCCATTTAATCCCCATCTTAACTTCAAAGGAAACCCTCCCCCTACATGTCCCTGGGGAAAACACGGCGCATTCAGCTGTGTATGAAAAACAATCCTGACAAACAGCAAAATGTTTTTGCTCTTAATTTTTTATTTATGTACGCCATCTACATTTAATGGAATATAAAATGCAAAAGGGGCATCATATCTACAGACTGTGATCAGGAGAACTGTGACTGTTATGTCAGAGTAGGATCAATGATGCAACGTGTCACCATGAGCAGGATTTTTCTTTCTGTCTTGTCTCAGATAATTATGTTGTGAATTAGCAGGAACAAATTATGCCTGAATACACATCAGGGATTTGACATTTTAGCAGTAATAAATGTTACCTCGGTTTCAATAAGTACTTCTATTACATGTGTCTTTGTGAAGCCTCGGGTCTGCTTCTCATGTTCTTTCTTTCAACCCAACGCCCTCCTCACACCAAGCCTTTTTGTTTCACTTTATGTAGAAAGGAAGACAAGCAAGAGAAGAGAACCATGGTGCATGTTTGTGGTAGTTATCTTCAAACTGCAGCTCTACTCTGGTTCTCATCTTCACAAACTCACTGAGTCATGCACTGGAGAGGACTGTGCCTCCTTCCAATCAGCACTGAGTGGGCTGCCATGATAGACCTCAGGCACTGCAGATTTACCACGTAATGAGGCCTGGCTAGCAAACCCACTGTGCTCTATCCCTCCTCTATTCCTTGCAATGAAGAATCACATATTTTAAAAGCCAAAAAAAAAAAAAAAAAAAAACAAGCAAACAAGGATTCTATGAGTAGACTGCAGGAATATTTAAGTAGAAAATTAATGATTTTACTCAGCAGCCTTGTGCTGGAAATAGTTTGTAATACATTTATGTTCATTTCAGTAACAGTTAAAACTATAGTTTTCTTCAGTGTGAAGTGAAACAATAAGCTGCCTTACTTCTGTTGTGAGGTGCTGATTTCTTAACCATCTAAACAACACTTTAAATGTCCCTGCAAAGGTTGTGTATTGACAGTTGCTAGTCAGTTGCTTAATTCAGTTTTTGCAGGCCTAGATAATGTAAGACAGCATGTCTGCAAGAGTATTCAGAACAACACCCTTTAATATTTTATTTAACAAATATCTTACCAGGGAAAACATGTATCAGCAGCGTATATAGTATATGAACAGAAAAAAAACAAAAGTTGTGTATGGTTGAAGACAGGGTGAATATTTCACTAACTTTTGCTAGCTGTGAGTGTGTTAAGGTCGAATAGTTTTTATTATTGCTATATTTACACAAACACTAATTCATTTTGGGGTGAACAGTAATTGTTGCCAAAAGTCACAAGTCATTGTGAAGAGTTCAACCAGTGCTGTAGTTTTTTCAGGACAGTCTGACTGATTGCTATGCTAATCATGATATAATGCCTCCAGTACTTATTTCTGCACATTCTGATTAACATTCTGAAACTACTCTTCCAGGCAGAGCAGATGCCAAACAGACTACTGTCCTTTAGCTTGTGAGACAAACACTGTCTATAGCCAAGAGCTCAACCATTCCTCTGCTGCAGCTCTGAGACAGTGAATGCTTGCATAACGTGCCATCTGAGCCGCACTGTAACTTTTTAGGTGTTTAGCTGGGTGTGAATTTACACCAAAGAGAAGCTGATGAAACAGACTGGAGAATGAGTCAGAGGTGCAACAGGCTGTGTTTACTCCTACATCACGTGAAAAGATGATTTTTTGCATGGAGGATTGAGAGAGGAATTATGTCTCTGGCTCCTCTAGTAGCTTCATCTTCCAGCTGAGGTTTAACAGCTCAGACAACAGCAAATGTTCAGCAAACACACAGATTCCCATCTTAACAGTATGATTAGAAAAAAAAAGTAACTGCTAAACAATATAAAACACTTTCTACATTCATGTTACTTAATGTAGCAGATAAAGAATATAACTTGCTAAAATCAGAAGACAGTCTCGTCTGTACATTTGCCATTGTGCAAATTAGCCGTTGCTGCATAATGCAGCATGTCCAGAGTGTGTGTGAGTGTGAGCTGGCAACAGGGCAAAATTGTTCTTACCAACTAACAGATGATATGATTTACAGTCAGCTCAGGCGTATCAGTCAGCACTGTTGCCTGGCAGGCTGTGCGAGCCGGGTCTCAGAAGGTATCAGTGCTTACAGAGCAAAGCTGGAGAGATCTCATTATCATCTGCTGTGTTCTACTTTGACTACTGAAACCAGCCCTCAGTCACTCTCCCAAGTATCTTGGGGTACTGCAAGCCCTGCAAAATACAGCCCCAGGCACTGCTTATCCGGGGTGGACCATGCTTACATTTGTCTTTGTGTTTATCCTCTGAGCTGCCATTGCCTGCATGTCGGTGAAGGTATAAAATTGGTTGAGGTGCAACATGTGTTTATGTGGTTGCTACAAAACTGTAAAAGGAGGAATGAATCATAGTGGAAATCGAAACAGTGGGTAAATTATTTAGCAGTTTCTTTTCAACACTGAGCAAATAAAAGCAGGCATCATTAAAAAGAAAATGTTTTTTCAGTTAGGTCATTATTAATATCACCAACAACTCTGTTGCAGTAGTGCAGTCAGATGAAGGGAAACAGCTACATTTAATTCAGTTCTATGAGAGCAACTTGTTAGTGTGGATTGTCCTTGAGTGAGGTTTAAAAGCTAAAAAAGATTTTAGGGTCATGCTGATTGATGTAAAATAGTTTAATTAGGCAAAACACCTTTCAGTTAAATTAATTTAGTGTTGTGTTAAAGTACCTTTATTCGCTTAGACTGAATAAAAAACAAACACTTGATTCAGGCTTCACTGAGTTGTAATTTGCATGGGTTTGTCTCTTTTCAGATGATGGCAAACTGTCCTTGGAGGAGTTCCAGTCGTATTTCACTGATGGTGTCCTCACTGACGAGCAGATGCAGGAGCTGTATTACTCCATCGACAGGCAGCAGACAGAGTAAGTGCATCTTGCTTTTCAACAACCTCTAGCTCGGCTGCTCTGCTGTCAAATGTCAGCATCTTACTTCGGTGAAGATGATGTCAGTAATGCACAGAGAGCCTCTCAGCTGGTATTTTGACCTGATGGCACTACGCAAGCAGTTAAATAACTACTTAGGTCATTAGGACTTATCTTCTAAGGAGGATGTATATCTGTGGCAACTTTCATGGCAAAAAATATTTCAGTAAAAGCCAAAAATGCTAATCTATTGGTTGCACTACAGGACAAACCAGGGGATAATCAAAGTCAGTCAGATTGATCCTCCGGGGACCATGAATATCTGTACATAATTGCATGGATTGCATGCATCCATTCAGTAGTTACTGAGATTTGTCACTCTGGACCGAAGGGACGGACCTGCTGACAGGCACTTTGACGTAGCGGCGCTGTGAGAATTATTTCCAGCTCCCCAGTTATATCTCATTAATGGCGTTCTGCTTTTTGTCTTCTTTCCTTCTTCACAGCAACCTAGACATAGACACGCTCTCAGGTAATTATGTGTCATTCTTCTTGACTGTGCTAATCATGTCACTCTTTATATACAGTTGCATAACCTAGTCTTTGTGTATCAAAAAAGCCCAGGGTGTCAAGCTTTTAGCTGCTGTTTTGGCTTCAGCTGTTTCATGATGACCAAACCCAAACACGCTCCTGTCTCAGTGACTCAGTAGTTAACATGTATGGCACTGGACAAACTACTGAAACTAACTAATAACTCACTATTCCCTGTCAATCTTAATTTATTTCCTTCTTGCAGAAAATACCACTGACCAATGTGCTGATCAGACACAAAGCACGTTGCTTAACACGTTTTCTTCTCTTGCAGAATACTTCACTCCACATCTGGGAGAGTATATCAATGTGCTGTCTGCTCTGGAAAAGCTGAATGTGGCCATTTTGAAGGCCATGGACAATACAAAAGAGGTGGGTGATGATGGCTCTCACTTCTTCATTGGGCTTAGTCTGTATGTAAGTCTGACATCAGCACGCTATTATCCATTCACCAGTTTTAAGGACATTTGTCAGCATCCTTCATCCTTCTGAGCATTTGGTCCGGCTTTTTTGTTTGTGCCTCGGCTATTGGTTTGAAACCACAGAGGTCTTGTTGCAGTACAGAAGGAAAGCCTGCTAATGCATTTTTAAACAGGTGCTCACAAGACCTACAAGGTGAACCATGCTTTTAAAAATGACCTCCTCTAAATTAATGTCAGCTTACCGGTGGGAGAAACGTGGCAGTTGTTTGTCTTTGTAAATGAGCTGGGCAGTCAGTAAAACAAAGGGAGCAAAGCAATTTATGTGAGGCTGTTTCTACGCTGCATTTAGAGCGGGAAGAAAACTGAAAACATCCATTATTCATATTTGGAAATGCTGGCACATTATTTCAAGGTGGTTGGTCCTAGGCAAGGCAGTCTTATTTATATAGCACATTGATTTGATTTGATTTATTCTTTCAAGCATGTAAAGACAGTTGATATGTCAACACACATAATTTTACACATATCCAACAAATGCTAATCCAATATCAATTTGCTTATACCTAGTACATGCTTGAATGGAGTAGGAAGAAGTCAGACTTATCCAGTCCTACCCCATGACATCATCTTACCATCATTGGTTTGCAAGCAGTATCTCTACATAAATAATTCTCTTCTACACCACACAAGTAATATACTAAAAAAATTTTTAACAGAGTGTTAACATTCTTACATAATTACATTCTTAAATAATTTTCTTCTACATCATCAGTAATATACTAAAGATATCTGTGCAGATTCTTAGTCATCCAGCTCATAGTAAACCGCAACCGATTTCCAAGGTTATTTCGGTTGCAATATACTAAAGAATTATTACAAAGTGTTAACATTCATACACCACACCCACAATGTTCCATCTAATTAATCATTAAGCCTGTTCTTGCATATATCTTGATTGACACATACCTTTATATTTATGTTTAAACTCGTCAATTCTATTACTATTTTTTATGTCCACACTTAAATTATTCCATAGTTTTACCCCACTTATAGAAATACAAAATCTTTTTTTGGTTGTACGTATAG